TAAGGTGACCTCCGTTTCCCCTTATGATGTACAATATAATCTGACGTCTGCTCTTGTACAGTATAAGGTGAGCTATGGTCCCCTTTCTGTTGTACAATATAAAGGTGTCCATTAGTCTCCATAATGAAATAACATATAAGGTGACCTTTGGTCAACTTATTGATGTAAAATATTAGTTTACCTCTGGTCCACCTAGTAACGAACGTTGAAACTGAACTGAAGGCTCTGTCCCCCTACTTATGTACAATATAAAGTGACCTCTGGTCCCCCTACTGTTATCTCCTATTAATGTACAATATAAGGTGTCCTTTCGTCCCCCTAATGTTGTACAATATAAGGTAGCCCCCTGGTCCCTTACTGTTGTACAATATTAGGTGACCCCTGGTCCCCCTACTGTTTTACAATATAAGGTGATCTCTGGTCCCCCTACTGATATACAATATAAGGTGATCTCTGGCCCCCCCTACTGATGTTCCCTACTTATGTACAATATGAGGTGACCTCTGTTCCCCCTTCTGATGTACATAATAGGTGTCCTATGGTCCCACTACTGATGTGCAATATAAGGTGTCCTATGGTCCCACTACTGTTGTACAATATAAGGTGACCTCTGGTTATCCTACTGGTATACAAAATAAGATGACCCCTGGTCCCCCTACTGATGTACAATATAAGGTGTCCTCAGGTCCCCCTACTGATGTCCCCAACTTATGTACAATATAAGATGTCCCCTGGTCACCCTGCTGTTGTACAATATAAGGTGTCTTTTGGTCCCCCTACTGATGTACAATAAAAGATGCCCCCAGGTCCCCCTGCTGATGTATAATATAAGGTGTCCTCTGGTCCCCCTACTGATGTACAATATAAGGAGACCTCTGGTTCCCCTGCTGATGTATAATATAAAATGACCTCTGGTCCCCCCTACTGATGTACAATACAGGGTTACCTCTGTTCACCCTGTTGATGTAAAGTGTAATATTAAGTGTCCTCTGGTCCCCTACTGATGTTCAATATGAGGTGACCACAGGTCCTCTAATGATATACAATATGAGGTGACCTCTGGTCCCCCTAATGATGTCCCCTACTGATGTTAAATATATTGTGTCCTCTGGGTCCCCTACTGATGTTCCCCTACTGATGTACAATATAAGGTGTCCTCTAGTCCCCCTACTGATGTACAATATAAGGTGACCTCTGGTCCCCCTACTGATGAACTATATAAGGTGACCTCTGGTCCCCCTAATGATGTACAATATAAGGTGACCCTTAGTCCCCCTACCAATGTACGATATATGGTGTCCTCTGGGCCCCCTACTGATGTACAATATAAGGTAACCTCTGGTCCCCCTATTGATATACAATAGAAGGTGACCTCTAGTCCCCCTACTGATGTACAATATAAGGTGCCCTCTGGTCCCCCTATTGATCTAAAGTGTAATATTATGTGTCCTCTGGTCCCCTACTGATGTTCAATATAAGGTGACCACAGGTCCCCCTACTGACGCACTATATAAGGTGTCCTCTGGTCCCCCTATTGATGTCCCCAACTAATGTAAAATGTAAGATGTCCCCTGGTCACCCTGCTGTTGAAAAATATAAGGTGACCTTTGGTTCCCCTGCTGATGAATAATATAAGGTGTCCTCTGGTCCCCCTACTGATGTACAATATAAGGTGACCGCTGGTCCCCCTACTGATGTACAATACAGGGTTACCTCTTGTCCCCCTATTGATGTAAAGTGTAATATTAAGTGTCCTCTCGTTCCCCTATTGATGTCCCCAACTAATGTACAATATAAGATGTCTCCTGGTCCACCTGCTGTTGTACAATATAAGGTGACCTTTGGTTCCCCTGCTGATGAATAATATAAGGTGTCCTCTGGTCCCCCTACTGATGTACAATATAAGGTGACCGCTGGTCCCCCTACTGATGTACAATACAGGGTTACCTCTTGTCCCCCTATTGATGTAAAGTGTAATATTAAGTGTCCTCTGGTCCCTACTGATGTTCAATATAAGATGACCACAGGTCCCCTACTGATATACAATATAAGGTTACCTCTGGTCCCCCTAATGATGTCCCCTACTGATGTTAAATATAATGTGTCCTCTGGGTCCCCTACTTATGTCCCCCTACTGATGTTCAATATAAGGTGTCCTCTAGTCCCCCTACTGATGTACAGTTTAAAATGACCTCTGGTCCCCCTACTTATGTACCATATAAGGTGACCTCTGGTCCCCCTACTGATGTACATTATAAGATGTCCTCTAGTCCCCCTACCAATGTACGATATATGGTGTTCTCTGGTCCCCCTACTGATGTACAATATAAGTGACCTCTGGTCCCCCTACTGATGTAACATATAAGCTGACCTCTGGTCCCCCCTACTGATGTACAATATAAGGTGACCCCTAGTCCCCCTAATGATCTAAAGTGTAATATTAGGTGTCCTCTGGTCCCCTACTTATGTTCAATATAAGGTGACCACAGGTCCCCCTACTGATGCACTATATAAGGTGTCCTCTGGTCCCCCTACTGATGTCCCCTACTGATGTGCAATATAAGGTACCTTCTGGTCCCCCTATTGATCTAAAGTGTAATATTAGGTGTCCTCTGGTCCCCTACTGATGTTCAATATAAGGTAACCACAGGTCCCCCTACTGATGCACTATATAAGGTGACCTCTTGTCACCCTACTGATGCCCCCTACTGATGTACAAATAAGATGATTACTGGTCTCCCTACTTATTTAGAGTTTATGATTACTTTTGTTCCCACTTTTTTTATTTTGATTATTTGGTTTCGTGTGGTCCTACTGTTATTCAATTTAAGGTGACCTCTGGTTCCCCTACTTATGTACAGTATAAGGTGATCCCCGGTCCCCCTACTGATATACAATATAAGGTATCCTATGGTCCCTCTACTGATATACAATATAAAGTTACCTCTGGTCCCCCCAGTGATGTACAAAATAAGTGACCTCTGGTCCCCCATATGATGTAGAACAGAAGATGACATCTGGTCTCCCTTTTGATGTACAATATAAGGTGACCTATGGTCTCCCTAAAGATGTACGATATAAAGTTACCTCTGGTCTTATTAACTTTTTATTACCTCTGGTATTCGCATAAAGATTATGGAAACGAGCGTAAGTCTTATATTGTCCATCAATAAGGATTTCATACTTCACAAATTGTAGTATATGAATGGGACAAAGGTAATCTTATGTTGTACATTATTACAATGTTATTGAAAGTTGTAAGTAGGCAATGATTTAAATTCATGGCATGTGTAGAATTATTTTTCAAATCCTCTCAAAAAAAGGATTGCGACCCTAATTTTTTCGGAGTATTAATTCGGAGAAATTGTGCACTTTTTCCCCGAATTCTCTAAATGTACATGTATGTGATTGGAATTTGGAGGATTAGTCAACTTGCTTGTCTTCAAATACAGTATATGTATCCTAAAGTTAAATAACAATTGGTGCATTTTTTAAATTTTATTTCCTTTTTTAATGTAGTTTTGATGGGTTTATGAATTTGATGTGTTAATTCCAGGGAAAGGGGAGGAGAACTCCATACAGCCCCAAACTTTGCAATACAGGGTGTACATCTTCTTTGTAAGATAAATAAAAATCAGGGATAAGGAAGACAAAAGAGACATTAAATAATTTATTAACAAATAATTATTCCATAATGTTAAAGGATTGGTGAAAAGTCCGAGCGAAATGAAAAGGGGGCTGTAGGAGGCAAAATCTTCATCCCCCTGCTTGTTAGAGATCTGCGAATGCAGAGACTGGACGTACGTTGTTTACTCTTAGTCGCTTACTATTAGGAATGAGATCAGCGGTTGGGCACTGTGTTATATAGTCTACGATAACCTTAAATGGAATAATAAAACCATAGGGGAGACCACAGGTCACCCAACATAATCCATAAATGTTTAACTCTAATATATAATATATCTTATAATATTGCAGTTAATGTTGCTCAGCAACCCCCCTCCCCCTCTTTGTTTTCTAATACCCATCACAGATTGTTCTTCCCTTGAAAAAATAATTTTTCTGGGTTTTTTTACACTGAAAAGGCTTCACAGTATTACGATTTATTCTATTTTCACTTTACGTATGCAACGCACTACATTTTGTGGCGGAGTAAACAGATCCGATAGACGTGAACTGCGCGGGGGACCTAAGGTCCTAGTTCAGCGTACGTTTTATCCTTCTGCAATTGAAATACATTTATATTCACAGAGAAGTTTTATGTAACAAACCTGTTAGCTCTTAAAATAGTGCTGTGTTAAAATCCACATTTTATCAACATTGATATTATTTCTGCGAAACTGAAATTTTCATAACACATGGGAAAAGGTGCCAAAGAAAAATATCTTACAAATTTGAAGACTGTGAGCAGTCAATTATATAAATGATCAACCGCCTCTAGTATGAATATAATTGGCAGTGTCCATGTTTTGCAATGGGAAACCCAAAATATGTGTAGGATGGAAAAGTAATAGAAGGTGCACAACAGCAATATGTAATAAAGATTCTATGAAAATTCGTTCAGTGATGTAAGAGGAGTTGCGGATAAGAGATGGGTATACCTAAAGCATAACAAACAGAAAGACGGAAATCCAGATTAATAAATACCATCCCGCTTTTCAAGCAGAGGGTATAAAAAAGGACTAATGTAGGCAGGCAACAATATGGCCCCTGCATTTTTTTTGCTATTCAATGTCTCTGAATGTCTTTCTTAAGATTTTTGCAACTCAAAAAATCTTAAACAGTTGTCTGTATTTTAAATAATAATATCGTTCACTCACTTTACCTCCCGATCAAAGATTTTATTTAACACCACGTTCAACTCCCATGAGTGCTTTCAGTACTTTGATTTCTTATTTATGACTTATATTAAAACCAGCACACGATGTTAGTAGTAGAACTATAGTTTATAACTCAATAACACTGGGTATAAGCATTTCAGGGATTTGATTGCAAATGATCTATGTCAATGTGATGGGCCATGGTACAACCCAGCACTTGTTCTCCAGTGGCAGCCCAGATGAAAAACACAGCCCACAGTAAACATACTGGAAGGCACAAACAAGGTATTCTCTGCAAGTAAAATGCAGGTCCTTGCTGGCAGCATTCCAAGTAAACTTGGTTGTGCCATCTGAGTTGTCACTTTTAGTGGTGGTGGTAAAATACACAGCTGGAGCTGGGACAGACACTGTATCATTGGAGTCACTGGAGAAGCTATCGGGGTATGTTTCTTTTTCACAAGTCTCTTCCATAGATATGGGCTCCTCTTCCTGAACTGGTGGTGTAAGGGATTCAGAGGTAGCCACATCTGTCTCATCTGTACCAAGCTCTTCACAGGAGGACATCTGTATATTGCTGGATGCCAGAGCATTTACAACAGACTTGTTGCTATGCTCAGGCAACAGATCACTCCTAGGAGGCTGTGTATCCAAAGTCAAATCCGGGAATGGTTGGCAGTTGGATGTTATGTCAGAATCTGGAGTTAAATGGCAACCAGCAGTTGAATGCTCACTACTCAGTAGCCATAACTCAGATGAACTGCCTTCAGGAACATTCTTGTCCTCTATGTCTGAAGTTGTTTGGCAACCACCAGTTGGATACTCACTACTCGGTAGCCATAACCCAGACTTACTGTCATCAGTTTGGTCTCTATCCTCTATGTCTTCTGTGTGTGGAATTCCAGGAACTTGGGGATCATCATGTGACACCATGGTATTCCACTGCATACTAGCAGGTGATATATCACCACTCCGTATTTGTTGAAACCCTGGTGGACACTTGCTGGGAACTGTAGACTTCTGCTGCTGGTGTGCTGCAGTAGGCAGGTCATATGCACAGCTGCTGTCGTCATCTCCAGGTCTCATCAGTGCTGAACCAGTTCTTTGTTCCTGGTCAAGGATGTTATTAGGAATTCCATTTGTTGACATAGTAGGACATTGTACAGCTGCCCCATCCTGTGAGTGTGCCAATGGTGGTGGTGGCATTGGTAGTCCTCCATACATGCATGGCTGTGGGTATTGCTGTTGAGGTACCATGTATCCAGGTGGGAACATTCCAGGATATGGGCCATATGCACAGGGTGTGCTGGGATATGGCTGTGGTGGTCCAAGGAATGGTTGTGGTATTGGTCCACCATATCCAGGAAATGGCACTGGATAGCTCCCAGGAACTGGTACACAACGATAAGGATACCCACTTTGGCCTGGGTTGAGAGATGGCATGTATGGTCCACCATAGTATCCAGGAGGTGCTGCACAAGGTGTCATTGCTGGATTCATCTTGTTGCTTTATTTTTCAGTAGTTCAAAGTTACGGAAATAATCACGCCGTTTGATACTACTGAAACAGTCAGTCGGAGAATGTGTGTATATTTATTGCTGTACGTTATCCTATTTCCACGTCACGGTAAACGAAACCGCCGGTGAAAATATTACACACTAATGTGACTGATATGCAACAAGTTCCGTGTAATCACCGTGGTCTGAATTAAACGTAGCTTTAACACAATATAGTTGTATCTGAGCCTGTTTAATTCAACAGTTAAGTTTCTGGCATATAGTTAGATGTTTCTCTTTTCTTTCTATCCGTTTCTTTCTATTTGTATATCGGAGGTATTTAAATAGCATTTTCTTTATCTTTGCTTTTATTTTATAACTCTGTACTGGTCCACAATATTAATTCTGTGATATATTACCCCTTAATAGATTACTAGCTTAATCTGTAAATTGGCTTGCTTAATTACCGCACTGACTCTTACAACGTTTATGTTAACGCCCGATGACAGACGACGGTAGCAATAAGTACTGATGTTACTAAAATAAATACCCGATAAACTAACTAATCAAAGAATATAATCAATTGATGATGTTATATAAATTGATTATATTTTTGCAAAGATATTCACTGTTGTTGCACAGAGCTAATATGTAAAAACGTAACTCTACAAAATCAGTTCACTGCTGTTCAAAGCGAGCACGTGCGCTTTGATCTATATATAGCTAAAACAGGTAAACCGGTTTGAGTGAACTAGCTCTGTGAAACTACATGTACATAAAACTAACAAAAACACTATATCTCTCTTCCCCCAAAATATTTTTAGGGACTTCAAGAAAGACAATATATGAATATACTAATAAAATATAAAATGAGAAGAAAACGGCGCTCCTCGAAAATTGTCAACACGAGTGACAATAACTTTCAATAGAGAAAAAAAAAACTATTTGTCTGTGCAAAAGAATAAAATATCAACAATTTAGAATAAAGTTCAGTGATGGGAGTGACCGAAATTGAATGTATCGAGAAGAAAAAATACAATTTACAAGACAATGAAAATATTCAAAATTTTCGTACGACTTTACAAAAAAAAAGCCCTTACGATATTGTTCACTAAATAGTTGAAAATATTCAAAATTTTCACATTAACGTTTACAAAAAACGCTTACGATAAAAAAATCTAAATACTAATGAAAACGAAACTTTCAAAAAAATTGGACCGTGATATCCCACGTTTGAAATGCTACTCACGGGTGAAAAAATAACATGCCAACTTAGTCAAATTGTTGGGAAATTTTCAAATAACGTTAATTATAATGCCTGTAAGCAACAGTTTCCTAAAATGTATTATTAATCAAAACATTCCACTGAGTGTTTTTTTAGAGTGAAAAAAATTCACACGTGAATTTTTAAATAAAAACAGTAATTCGCCCCCCACCGAATTACCGGCAACGCCAATGAAGTAAAAATTTAAAATTTTACTATGAAATAATGTCGCCTACCTTAAAGTATAGTATAACATGTATAAGGTGACGACCAATGAACAAACTCTACATGGTGAATACATACAGGTAACAAAAAAATAGAAAAGGAAACAGGTAACACACGTGGTGACTACAGGTAGGACTGGACTTGACTGACGAGGGGAAGCATGCTGGCCAGCACGGGTGGATGGCTATGAGGTCAGGGTGAAAGGTCATGGGAATAATTTTATACACAATTTCACTACAAGACAGATACTTTTTTAAAGGAATAAATAATTATCTCACCAGCATGTCATTGTGCCAAAGGGCAGCATTTTTTTGTCTTTTGACGGGTGAAACGTTTTGAATGGCACTGTATCGATGAATTTTACACTAAACCAATCTAGCTTTATTTACCCGCCCTTTTATCTTAAAAACCCGGGAAAGGGAAACGCGAGTTCGTAAATTTGAAATCTGATCCCACTAAATTTGACATGGAAAAAAAAAATTGTTTTATTTTTTTCTGAAAATTAAAACCTTACGGGGGGTTTATACAACTGAAAATAAAATAAATCCAGGCCTTAAATATGTAATTAGATCATTAGTATATTAAACCCGGAGCAAAGGATAAATTTAAAGAATTCATGCATTACACTGTATTATATTAGACCCCCCCCTAAATCAAGAACCCCCGACCCTGGGGCCATAAAATTCATAAATTTTTGGGAGAGGCACTCTTGCTCATCATAACTATGTACTTAGTTAGCTTATTTAATACCCAGGAGCAGAGAAGAAGATTTTCAAAGAATTCATGTATTTTCACTATAATCAATGAGCCCCCCCTAAAACCCGAACCCCTGACCCTGGGGCCCTAAAATTCACATTTTGGTAGAGGGACTCTTGTCATAAACTTTTATTAGTTTTTATTTAAAACCCAGGGGCAAAAAGAAGATTTTCAAAGAAATAATGCATTTTCACTACCT